CCCTAATTTTCTTTAGCATTGTGAAGGAGTTCAATGCGACAGTTGCCACACTTACACCTGAAATAAAATCTGTAGTTATCGTACCCTGTGCAAAGTCACACAAACTAAGTCACGCAAAGCAAAGACACGCAAATATAAAAGCGGGGAAATATACCATTGATCTAATTCTTCGATACCATCAAGTCTCCTCAATGTTGAAATTCCTTTAAATGCTCGTCATAAGTTTGCCTTTTTTCACGCTAGTTAGCGAGCCACCCTTCGTCAGCCACCGGTTCATTAGCATACGGACCAAGTTCTGATGTTTGATGTCTCAGTTTGGAGAAGAAGCACAGGGCTAAACAGTCTATAACAAGGATACGTGACCCCGACTCTGGCATTATCCATCACAACCCTTTTGACATCTTGGGTACGTGGCAGCGGTACTACGAGCGGCTCATTACCACTGAGGTGTGTGACGCCACAGCACAGGAGCAAATGTTGGGTAACTTTAAACGCTCCCTCAGCAAGGCGGACATGGAATCTTGCAAGGGAAAATGATCCAGCCAGGAGTGCTTTTGGGCTCTCTCTGGAATGACACGTGGCAAGACCCCAGGTTCGGATGGCTTCCCCATGGAGATTATCCTCCACTTTTGGGATGACCTCGTTGCTGATCTTGTCCGTGTTTTGAACATTGCCTATGATGAGGGCTGCCTATCTGCCTCTCAGAAGCGTGGCCTCATCATAGTGTTATATAAAAAAGGTGACCATCTGGAAACCAAAAACTATCGTCCCATCAGCCTCCTCAATGTGGACTATAAGATCGCCACCAGAGCTTTGAGTGGTAGGCTGTTGCGTGTTATGGGATCCATCGTCGAGTCGGATCAGACGTGCGGTATTCCTGGTCGTACGATCTCGGAAAATCGAGTCGAGTACGCCGACCGATTGGACATGCCCTTGTCCATTCTCTCTTTAGACTAAGAGAAGGCCTTCAATCGGGTCAACTGGGCTTTCCTCCAGCGGGTACTGGAGCGTTTCGGTTTTGGCGATTCTTTCAGGCGGCAGATCAACCTTTTTTATATGAAAATCGAGTCTGCCGTTATTATCAATAGTTGGACTTCCTCTTTTTTCTCTCCCTCTAGGGGAGTTTGACAAGGATGTCCTTCTCTACGTGCTTTGCATCGCGGTTTTCGCCGTGGCCATCTGTGCCTGTCCAGATATTCCAGGAGTAGCCTTGCTGGGCCGTGACACTTTTTTTCAAGTGTCCTCGCTATGCCGATGACATGTCGATTGCCATCACGACGGATGGCTCTTTCGAGGCTCCTTTCAAGGTCTATGGAAAGTACGAGCTCGCCTCTGGTTCGAAGCTGAATTGCACAAAATCGAAGGGTCTTTGGTTGGGAGCTTGGAAAGATCGCCAAGACTCTCCATGGGGTATCCAGTGGGTCAAAGAACTCCCACTTCTTGGAGCCACCTTTAGCGCTGGAGACTATTCCGTTGCAACATGGGAAGCTCCTGTCGTGAAGGTTGAGTCTCTCCTAGCCTCATGTAAGGGTCGCCAGTTGACCATGCAAGGCAAGGCAAGTGTTATAAATACCCTTGCTCTCAGCCAAATTTGGCATCTTTGTCATAATTTTGTAATACCAGATTGGGCCTGTCTTCGCTTTAAGAAGGCAGTCTGGGGTTTCTTTTGGTCTCGCCGTAAAGAGCTTGTGGCCAGGAAAACTGTTTGTCTTCCCAAGACTCAGGGTGGGTTTGGAGTAAGAGACTTTGAACTGAAAGCGCTGGCGTTCTCTGTTCGATGGGTCCGACGCTATTTCATGCTCACCACTGGCAATTGTAAAAAAAGGCCTTTTTTAGTTTTTCTTGTACTTCTCTCTATCCAGCACAGTTCTTTGCTACGAGTAACCATACTGGTCAGTTACTGTCTCTCCTTCCTCCGTAGTATCAACAGATCGCATGTGCCCAGTTCACTTTTGACGGTGGAACTATATCGCGCGTTCCATCTCTTCAGTTATCCACTCCACGACCACGCTCTTTTCGATGTCACTGCATTGGCAAGTTCTTACCAACATATGGCCGGCTGCTACATCCCTAGACCGGCCCATAGTTGATGTGAACTGGAAGATCGCACGTGGAGTTCTCTACACCGCCTCCTGTCTGGTTACTTTTTTTGGGATGGCTAATATAGGTCTCCAATGTCATTGCCGTGCAGCTGATGAAACTCCGGAGCATCTCTTCTTTGAGTGCTCCTACGCTCAAATTCTGTTAGGATGGGTGCATTACCATCTCGTGCAGGTTGACAAGAATGTGGAACCCTTCACTGTTAAAGAGTTGTTTTTTAGCCTCTGCAAGCCGCGTCGTCCCGACGTCCCTATTGTCATCAAGTGGATGCGTCAGGTCGTCAAACATCACTTATGGGTCTCCCTTTCTCTCTGCATGCCCCTGCATGCGTTTCCTGCCTTTGTCCTGTGTTTTGTCAAGTCCGGTTTTTTTTGCAGACACAGCGGTCGCTTTAATTAGTTGTACTGCTGTTGCCTGTTTGTGATCCCATTTTTTGTTTAATGTTTGTTTTTGTTTTGTCAGGGATCCTACTTGGGAGTAGCCATTCTTGGCTTGCTTTCAGGTAGTTTTCAATTTGTAACTGGGGTTGAGACGGGTGCCCTACTGGGTGGCTTTGCTTGGCCTTGGGCTTCCTTTTCGGGAAGCAGAATTTTTTATCTGGTTTTGGGCCCATGGGCTGCTCATGTCGTTTCATGCTTACCACGCTTTTACATCATCCATCCACCATCCACGGTTGTTTCATGGCATGGGAGACAGGCTCACAACCTCTGTTGATCTGCGTCGCTTGTAGCGGCCTCCCTGGGCGTGGCAACACGAAGGGTTCAGGCTCCATTGCACCGTCGGAGTCGCCAAACCTGTTGTCGTTCTATCTAAAATAAGATCAATTGGTCGAGAATTTTGGTGAAGGGGCAATTTAATTGCTGGTCCTTCTTTTTTCTCTTACTGGAGAGAAAAGGAATAGTCTGCCTTTTCTGGTTCTCCATATTATTTATTATATTCTTTCTTTACTCTTGGGAGGGCAAAGCTTAGCCTTTGTTGGACTCTCTTCTTTTCCTTTTTTGGGAGGGCAGAGCTCAGCCTTTGCTGGACTCCCTTCTTTTCCTTTTTGGGAGGGCAAAGCTCAGCCTTTGTTGGACTCCCTATTCTCTGTGTGTTTTCTAGGGGGGACAAAGCTCAGCCTTTGCTGGACTCCCTATTCTGTGTGTGTTTCCTATGGGGGCAAAGCTCAGCCTTTGCTGGACTCCCTTTTCTTTTTGTTTTTCTGGGGGGGGGGGGGGGCAAAGCTTTTGCTTTGTTGTACTCCCTTTTCCGTGTGTTTTTGGGAGGCAAAGCTCACTCTTTGCTAGACTCCCTTTCTCTGTTTTTTGGAGGGCAAAGGGTTAGCCTTTTTGCGGGACTCCATTTTTTTTCTGTGTTTTGAGAGGGTAAAGTTTTTTCTTTACTGGACTCTCTGTCTTTCTTTTGAGCAAGGGACTAGTTTTTGCTTTTATGGTCTTTTGGCAGCAGTTTACTTCTTTTCTTTGAGCTGAGGAGAATTAAGTGTGTACTACTTGATTGTATTATTTTTAATTTGAGCTTCTACTGTTCAAATATATTACTACTGTTTGGACAAGTAGGGTGTATTAAACTTTTGTGTGTGTATAATTATTATATATTGGTCATTTGCTACAAACAGTAGGTATTTGATATGATTCCGAAAGGTTTCCTGGAAAATCTGTCCGTTCAAAGTCAGTATCTTCAGTACGCTTATCGTGTCGTCGTTCCTAACTGGTCCTGGTTTAGTGTCGGATTCTGAATTTTCTGATGAACTGACCAATGGTGAGTCGAATACTTTGTATTCTGATAGTTCTCGTACAGCAACTTCAGGCGTGGAAGATGAGAATTCAATGACTTCCTTCTTTGCTAGTCATCCTGGACATGAACCGAGCTCTCTTGAATTGGACTTTCCCCAAAATGTTCCTCGGGTTACAAAAACCTACTTCTGATCCCCCTACTTCTGTACCAGAGCCATTCCAGTCTTCTGAAGAATCCTTATTTACTCATCGCATTTTTCAACGATCTTCTCCTTTTGGAGAAGCAGTCTTGAATAGATTAATTAATCTTATAATTTAATTGTTACCAATAATACTGTTTAATTAATTGTTGTTTTATTCTAAATTTTATTATGGCTGAGAATACTATATCCCTAATTACACTGAATGTACAAGGTTTTCGTGATTCGACAAATCGTTCTGTCTTATTTTCCTGGCTCAACTGTGTTGAAGCAGACATTGTTTGCCTAGGGGTGTAGGGGTGTAGCTATTTTGTTCAAACCTAGCTTTCGTCTGGTTTCATCTTCTTCCAATGATTTTGGTCGATGGTGTATTGTTACATTTTCTAAAGATAACACCGAATTTCAGGTTGTTTGTCTTTATGGTCCAAATAAAAAAGTGGAGGGGGAAAAATTTTTTGCTGACTGATTGCCTTGCATTGATGCATCTCTTCCTCTTTTCTTGGCTGGTGATTTTAAATACCGTTGTTGATGCATCAATAGAACGTTGTGGTTGCAATCCTTCGTCCCCTTGGGCTTATGATTGGCCACGGTCTTTACAACTTCTTACTTCTGAATTGAATGTCAAAGATATTCGGCGTTTAAAACACCCAACAGCTCATGAATTCACTTGGCGTCGCACTAATGGGGCTCAAGCATCTTAAAGTATTTGACATTGATATATATCCTTTTTTCCGTTCAGACTGTTTCATGTAGACACTTCTGGCCTATATTACGATCTACGTATAACCGCCTAAGTCACATGCAGCCCACATATATATATATATAATATAGTGTATATACACTATTACACTAGGACCCAGTCCGTCACTACATTATAATGTTACATCCTTTTTTCTATACAAGTTGTTAGTTTTTTGTTTTTTTTAAACTAAAACAAAACCGTAACGTTTCTTTGTTGATTCCTAGTTCAGTTCATTTCGAAATCTCTAAACCGTTCTGGCAGTTTAATACTTCTTCCCGAGCGTGTTCTTCGCATGACCTCCTCTGCCCGGTCTTGTCTTGGTTCAACTCTGTCCAAGCCCTCCAACGGACGACACTGCCCGGTCACAATCAGTGGTTCTTGATCATCTTGCCCCCGAACATCTACTTCGCGACCCATCAGAGGTTCATTCGTCTTTCGGAGATGCCGTCGATTTCTACAATACACCTTACCACCCTCAGTGACCACCTCATACGAGCGAATTCCAACCTTGCGCTGTATTTTTGCCTTCTGAGCTCCAGTTCTCTCTTGGCTTGCCGAAACTATTCTCACTGTTTCCCCTCGTTTCAGCTCGGTTAAACCTCTCGTACCTCGATCATAATACTTCTTTGCCCTCAATTGACGTGCCTTGATCTTCTTTATTACGTTATTGACTACTTTCGGGCGTAACAGTGCCTTGGTGGTTGGTAAAAGCGACTTTGTGCGTCTGCTCATCAAACGTTGCACTGGGCTGCTTCCCAGCGACTGAGTGGGAGTATTACGATAACGTAACAACGCCAGATATGGATCACTCCCAGTTTTCTTCGCTTTTTTCATCAACTGTTTAGCATCCCGAATTGCCCTCTCAACTTTACCGTTGCTCTGCGGGTATCTTGGAGATGATGTGACATGCTCGAACTTCCACAATTTTCCAAAGTTCTCGAACTCTTTAGACGAAAGCTGAGGTCCATTATCCGTCATCACTACGTCTGGAATCCCAAATCTTGCAAACTGGGCTTTCAGCTTACGTATAACGGCCTTCGATTTCGTACCCTCCAACAGATCAATTTCCCAATAGCTTGAAAAGTAGTCAACCGTCAGCAGATAATCACGACCATTGAACGTGAAGATATCCACTCCCACTTTAGAACATGGTCTTTCCGGAGGATCATGGGGATGCAGCGGCTCTTTTGACTGTTTACTATCGAACGCCCGACAAGTCTCGCACTGTTGGACATATGCTTTCACTTCGCTGTTCATTCCAGGCCAATAAAGGCACTCTCTTGCTCTTCGTAAACAGCTCTCGATCCCCATATGCGCTGAATGAAGACGTTTGTTCATTTCTTGGCGCAAACTCTTTGGTACAACCACTCGTTGTCCCCGAAACAGCAGCCCATCTTGGGTAGACAACTCGTCTCGCATCGACCAATAAGGCGTCATCTGTACTGGTAACTGCTTCTTTTTCTCTGGCTAACCGTTCCTTACCACTTCTATCACCTTTTGCAACTCGCTGTCGTCTACTGTATGAGCTTTAATATCATCAACTCTGGCCGCTGAGATTGACAAGTATTCTGTCATGTTGACTGTCTCCACTTCTCGCTCAAACGCTGTCGCCTCTTCTGGTGAACCATGCGCTCTGCTTAGAGTATCGGCTAACTCCATTTGTTTTCCCCTTCGGTAAACTATTCTCACATCATAGAGTTGAACCCGTAACAGCATCCGCTGCAATCGCTTAGGCGTTTTGTGAAGTTTTTTTTTTACAATCACCTCCAAGGGCTTATGATCCGATTGCACAGTCACCGTCCGCCCATACGTATATTGATGAAACTTCTCTAGACCATACACCACCGCCAACAGCTCTTTTTCAATCTGAGCATATTTCGTCTCTGCTTCGGATAATGCACAACTTGCATAGGCTATGGGTTGACCATCTTGTATCAAAACAGCTCCAAGTCCTGTTCCCGAAGCGTCACTCTGTACGGTTAACTCTTACTCCGCCTCATAATATTTCAGCACAGGCGCTTTGGTTACCAGCTCTTTGATCTTCGCACAGGCCTGATCATGCGTGTCTAACCAGGTCCACTCTGCATCTTTGACAGTTAACTTCCTCAAGGGCTCGCAGACTCGCTCAACATAGACAAAATTACGAGGTAATTCACGAACCCACCCAGTCGGCGCACACACAAGAACATCCTTGGGTTTTGGCATCTCTAGAATGGCTTTAACCTTTTCAGGATCAGGCTTCAAACCTCTGTCCGTTAGTAAATGTCCAATAAAGGGCACTTCTTTTCCTTTAAATCTTACTTTCTCTTTATTCAATTTAACGTTATGATCCAAGACTGCCTCTTCATCGTTTTCACCTTCCCCAAATACTAGTATATCATCATGTATGGATATGACCCCTGGCAGACCTTCAACCACTTGCTGCTGGCGCCTTTGAAATTCTTCTGGGGCAGATACCAATCCGAACGGTAATCTCAACCACCGAAATCTTCCAAACGGCGTGTTAAATGTTGTAAGAAAGCTACTCTCATCATCTAACTCGACATGCCAGAATCCGTTACGTACATCAAATGTGCTGAACACTCTAGCTCGGGTAATCTCAGCTAATACTTCGTCAATCGTCGGGATTGGGTAGTGACTTCTTTTCAACACTTCGTTCAGATCTTTAGGATCTATGCAGATTCGTAAACTGCCTTTCGGCTTCCGCACCACGACCATGCTTGACACCCACGACGTTGGACTGGTAACTTCCTTCAAAACCCCCAACCGCTCAAGTCGAGATAATTCCTCTTTAAGCTGCTTCTTGAGTGCTACAGGAACTCGTCTTGGTGGATGAACGACAGGCTTAGCAGTTGGGTCGATTTCTAGCACGTACTTTCCGTCAAATTTTCCAGTACGAGCAAACACTTCTGGAAATTCTTTCACCAACGACTCTTTGGTTAGCACTGGAACAGATTTCGTCTTACCATTCACTGCCATGATGTTTTCATATTTAACTTCTATAAGATGCATTTCTTGAACAGTGCTGCTTCCCAGCAACGGTACACATGACGCCTCTATGACAACAAAATCCACTTTATAACTTTTACCCGTTTTTGGATTCATAACAGATAACTGACATTGTCCTATTGGCTTAACCATAGACTTGTTGTACATTGACAAAATTTTGTCTGTTTCCTGAAGCTTACACGATCCCACCGACTTTTGAAGGACTTTAACTGGCATGACGTTACATGTTGCACCACTATCTAATTGGAATTTCACGGGTCGATTTCCAATGTTCAGTGTGGCGAAAACTTTCTTTGAAAAACACTCTTGCGACACAGCATGCACTTGCGATATACGTACGTAATCTACCGTCGCTAATTCGTCAAACTCTGATTTGCTATCACTTTGAACTTGATTAACCCTCGATTGTCTATGTTTTGTTGTTAGGCATTGTGCGGCAAAATGATTCAACTTATTACACTTTAAACACCTTTTACCAAGCGCGGGGCACTTTTGTTTATCTCGCTCATGCTTTCTACCGCAGTATCTGCATACTATGAAGCTTTGTTCCACTTTCTCTCCACTGCCTTCTCTATTTGCAAGTTTGCCTTCGCCTCGTTTAAATTTTACACTGTGCAGTTCATCATTAATTCGCTCTGTTTCATGGCCTCGAATCATTTTTTCCTTTCCTTTGCGAGTTCTGAAGCTCGACACGCTTCTATGCACTTTTTTAGATCTAAATTTGCATCTTTAAGTAAATTCTCTCTTAAATTATCATCACAAATTCCACAAACAATGCGGTCCCGCACCAAGGACTCTGAAAGCTGTTCGAAATTGCATGTGGCCGCTAAAATCTTTAACTCAGTTACGAACTTCTCTATCGATTCATCGATTCCTTACACTCGCGTAAAGAATCTATATCGCTCAACCGTCTCGTTCTTCCATTTCTTCCTTCCATCGTCGCCAGGTCTGCGGTAAATCATTTGAATCAAAATCCATTTGTCCCGGCGGTTTTAATTGTATCATTCGGACTTCTCCAACAGCAGTTTTCGTGCTTGTCGCCATTATATAGCTCCCCAACTTAGACTTTCACACCTGACACCATGTTTCATGTAGACACTTCTGGCCTATATTACGATCTACGTATAACTGCCTAAGTCATATGCAGCCCACATATATATACACTATTACACTAGGACCCAGTCCGTCACTACATTATAATGTTACACAGACCATTTGTATGTCTGATCAAGATTTCTTTATAAATTCTCTGGATCGTCGTCTCTCTGATCGTGATTCTGCATTGTGCGAAGGAGAAGTTACTCTTGAGGAATGTCGTGTTGCTCTTGATAGTTTTAAAACTAATAAGTCTCCTGGGATAGATGGTTTACCATATGAAATCTATAAGAAATTTTGGAATGTTCTCGGTTCTGATTTGGTCGATGTTTATAACTCTTCTTTGTCGTCTGGTTTTCTCTCATATACTTAACAGACTGGTTTAATTACCTTATTATATAAAAAGAATGATTGTATGGATACTGGAAATTGGCGTCCCATCTCGCTGCTCTGTGCCGACTATAAGATCCTCTCCAAAGTATAGACGAATCGTGTTAAAGTTGTTCTCGCATCTGTGATATCCCCTGTCCAAATTTGCGAGGTTCCTGGTCGTTTTTCTGGAAAGAATGTTCGTTTGCTACAGGATATTATGAATCATGCAAATGAAAACAATATTGGTGGGGCATTGATTTCCTTAGACCAAGAAAAGGCATTTGATAGGGTTGAATGGTCATTTCTTGAAAGAGTTTTGGTTCGGATGAATTTTGGTCCGGTTTTTTGTTCGTGGGCTCGTTTACTCTATTCATGTGCTTGTCAATGGTTTTACCAGTGAAGCTTTTCGTGTTACTCACAGTGTTCGTCAGGGTTGTCCGTTATCGGCACTTTCATATATTCTTGTTGCTGAGACAATCTCGAGCGCAATTCAGAAAGCTTCTGATATTGATGGTTTCATCCTTCCAGACGGCCGATGTGTAAAGCTATTCCTGTATGCGGATGACACTACTGTGTTTGTGAGATCCGACTCGGCTCTTCAAGCACTATTTTCCCTTTTTGCTCGATATGAGAATGCGTCCGGAGCCAAATTGAACATTTCTAAGAGTCATGGGCTCCTTTTTGGTCCTTGGAAAGTTCATCGTCCTACAGTCCTCTTAAAGTGGTCAAATGAATCAGTAATCATTCTGGGTTGCTGTCTGGCTAATGATGATCAAGTTGACTGGCAATCTCTTCTAGATAAATTCGAAGATCAATTAACCCTGTGGAAACACTGACAACTGTCGTTTCGAGGTAGAGCCTTGCTTGCTAATACACTTGGTCTTTCTTTGTTTTGGTATCAACTACCATTTTTGACATCCCAAAGACAATTATTTTCCAGATTAATAAGATCCTCTTCCCTTTTATATGGCAGAAGAAGCGCAAATGGCTAGCTCGTTCTTCTGTCACTCAACTAGTGTCTTCAGGGGGCCTCGGGGTGGCAGATGTTGCACGTAAGCTCCTGTCTTTACGAACAGTCTGAATTCGACCTTACTTAGTGCCTGGTTTGCTTTTTTTTATTATTACATCAGTTCTATATTTGGTTCCTCTGTACATGATCTTTTTTCACGTGACCATATACCTGTATATCTCATTAAGAGGTTACCATCCTTTTATGCTTCCATTGTTCGAGCGTGGGTTGAGCTACACTGCACTTGTGTGCAAGGTGTTTGGACTATTCCTTCTCCTTTTGGTGCTCCTTTACCTATTAGTGAATTAACCGCCTCATCTGCCTATCATTTCTTTCTCATGAGCAGCTAGTGCCTCACCGTGCCTTTGCAAAATTTCAAGACTAGGGGGTTACTGTTCAGTGGAACGATGCCTGGTCGAGTCTTAATCTTTGGCGTTTTGTTAGATCAGTGCAAGATAGTTCTTGGTTATCTTTTTATGGCATTCTACCCACTGCAGACCGTCTCGTTCGCTTTGGAATGCAAGTTGATCCCAATTGTTTTTGTGGCCAACAAGAAACTTTGTTACATCTTTTCATGGAATGTCCTTTTGCAATGGCCGTTTTTGATTGGTTCTTTCAGTGCTTTCGCCATTTTAGACGATCCATTTCTCCATTGTCTCCAACTGTTATTTTGTTTGGTTTCTCCTCTGGGGCAAATACTCCTGTAGCATGTTCGGCCCTGTTGGGGATCCTTCGTCATCGCATTTGGATTGCTCGAAATGCTTACCGTTTTGAGCACATTGCTCCTGATGTTCTAATTTCCCTACGGGAAGCTCGGTCCACTTTCCCTTTCTTGGTTCGCATGCAGAAACGTCATTGTCTTACGACTCGCTTTGAACATGATTGGCTAGCAGACGAACATATTGGTTCCATAAATGACTTGAACTGGATTCACTTTTCCCGTGATTTCATTTCTTAATCGTATTGTAACTTTGTTCCTCAATGGCCCAGCGGTTACTCTTGTTGATTTACCAATGGTGTCCGATGAGTTGTTCCTTGTCTTTATTTGTTCTTCCTTGAAGCGGTGGTCGCCTTATGGGAAAGTACTGCCGTTGTCTTCGAAGTTGTATTGCTATGTAATTTGTTTTGTCATGTCATGTGGCATGTTGTGTACTTTGTACGTGACTGTCCTCCTAATTTTGGCCTGTGGTTTGGTCGAGGTTTGCTTCGGCTGGGCTGCACAGGTGACCACCGTTAGGTGAATTTGTGTGTGGCTCATTCCGACTTCAGTTTACCTATCATCATTTACGGCCATTCACCGTCATTAGAATATCACTTGCGTGTTGTCTCATGGCACAGGGGAGAGGTTCACATCCTCTGACGATCTGCGTCACTAAGTAGTGGCCCCCTTGGGTACGGCGATTGCACAGGTCTAGTTTCCATTGCACCGTCGGAGTCGTAAGCCCATCGTCGTTCAACTCAAAATAAGATCAAGTGTAGTATCTGTTCTTATCAGCTTAATATCTGATACGGTAGGCAATGCCTAACTCATATATTAAACTGATTTTTGGCCTTCGGCCCTGGGATTGAAGCTTGCTTCGCCCTGCCTACGGGTTGTCTCGGTATTGCACTACATCTGAGTACGGCCCTCTTCCCCTCAACGGGGGAAGAATCATTTCACTATAAGAAAAATATAAATTCAAAAACTCGCTCAGAGTATACTGAAGTAACACCAGGCGTATATGATAAGGTCATATACGGCCACGCTGCCACAAAAGCATACTTACCTGACGCGAGAGGCACCTTGATCAACTAGGAGGTCCTCTCAGGATGAGGCCCTTTCATTGCACTTCGACTGGGTTGACACTCCTGCGATTACCCCTAATGTGGGTAACTCAAGCCTATAATTTTTGGTAGTGGCGACCTGCGTTCGCGCTTGTCTCATTCCCTTCTTCGGCCTCTTATTCACAATTCCAAACTCAAAAATCGAAAAACAAGTCTAAAACTCAGAAGCAGCGACAATTATTAATCTGCCGCGTGCGTGCATGTGAAAGCTAATAACCACTTGATTTTTTAACAATGGTGCCGCCGGGTTGTCACAAGTTATTAAGTGTAACCGAATCTCGGAAAATCGTTTGAAATTCGACACCTATTGATCAGTTCTCGCTACCGATCGACGGATAGCATGCCGGTACTATTTATGCATATACTACCACCGCTACGGCAGCGTCGAGAGGTTCGTCACACCATATATAACAACGTCTCGGATAGCACATAGCAGCAAATGGCGCCGGCAGTATACCGCATAGCATCATGCACCACAACTCTTGCGAGGGAACACATCGATGTAGATAAATAAATAAATAGCCAACTATCTATTGGAACTGTGAAATCATATGACCGAAAACTGCAAAAAACAGCTTTTGACGATCGAACATTCACCAACTATCGACAATAATATATAATGGCCGCTCGGCGGCGGCAGCAAAGCATGACCGTGAGGACGTCTAGGCAAGCATAGGCGGCCCGCCGGCCTCGCATCGAACCCGTTCACGAAATAATGAGCTGCAGCGACATTGCTTGGCTTCTTTCTGTCGGGGACTGATTCTGCTCACTCGATCGCACACCACCACCGGGTCGAGCGGGCTCGCCGATGCCCCATAAAGTCGTGGTGGCGAGGTGAAAATGGGTTATCACTTCTTAGCCTTTTGGCTAAGATTTTACAAAGTGATTCCTATTCCTTGGTTTGTGCAAGCAAGTTCAAGCAAGTTCAAGTGGATCCAATCAAGTTCAAGTGGATCCAATCAAGTTCAAGTGGACCCAAGCAAGTTTTCCTGTTCAAGTTCCGTTCCTGTTCAAGTTCTGTTCCTGTTCGTTTCTCTTCTGGTGTCTTCAGTGGTTTTCTCTGTTGGTCTTCTGGTGTTCTGCTGCTGGTCCTCGGTTGGTTCCTTGGGGGTCCCGGACCTTGGTGTGTGGTTTTCTTGGCGTGTCTTTGAGTGGACAACAACGCTTGTTAACAAGTGGTTAACAAGCGAGGTAACTTTTTTTTGTGTTTGGAATCAATATGAAGATTCTGTTTTTCAATTGTACCGTTAATGTTGACTTACCGCATGTGGATGGAGCTTGTGTAACTGTAAAGGGGATAATCGAGGAATTTCATCGGCAAATGCCAGAAAATTTTAACACTTGTCTAGAAGCATTTGTGTTGTTATCCCAGCAAAAAGTTTGTATCACATGCCGTTCTGCCATTAATATGGAGGAATTTTGCAACTTGGGTATAACATTTAGGGGCTTACCTATAACATGCTTCCCTTATCGTACTGCAAAATATGTTCAAGTAACTCGTCTGAGCTATGGAATCTCAGAAGATATTGTCCGTACTGCTTTAAGACCATTTGGAACTATTTTGAACCTTAAGATGGATTCCTTTCACGGGGTTTATATACCGAGGTGCGAAATGTTCTAATGAAAATTAATTCCCCAATACCATCTTGAATCAATATCGCTGGTCATTGGTGTGGCATCTTCTACCACGGGCAGGTTCAAACCTGTTTTCATTGTAAAAAATCTGGGCATACTGTGAAGGATTGTCCACAGAAGGAACCTGCTGCTATGGGTCATACTGATGTCCTTCCTCCTACGGAAGATGCTCCGGTTATGGAAGATCCTCCTCCTCCCATTGTCAATGAGACCGTAAAAGAATCTCTCCCCCACAAGGAAGAGTCTCCATCTGTCAAATCATCCATTGTAGAACCTGGAGTCTCCTTTTCAACTGTTGCTTCAAGGGGTCTAGCCTCTTCAGAAGAAAACGCAGCTTTTCCTGAGAAAATAGCTGAAAAACATGTTCACTCTCTGATGGTGACTCAGGAAGTGATCCCTAAAGTCCCTTCACAATTGCCTCTTTCTACTGCCACCTTACCACCTTTTCCATCGGATAGTGATGTGGAATCCCGAATATCGGAGGGTGATGATTCTTCACGTTTGAAGGATGTAAAACGGAAGTCTTCTAAGTCGAAAGATTCTCTCTCTCTATAGAAGCCTATGATGGTGAAGATGAACAAGTGGATAGCGATAATGATGAAAAAGATAATGAATCAGACCCCCCTTTGGAGCCTGTTGACCCGTCACGAAAAGTCTCGATTACGATTGACTCTCCTTTATCACAATTTCCTCCGAGCCTCCCTCGTTCCCAAGCAAAATCTGCGAAATCCTCTCAAGAATTGGATTTGATATCCTTCGTATCTAAGAAAACTCATCCCCGTCCAGTAGTTGGGTCTAAAAAAAACAATCATAAGAATGAAACTATATTTTTTATCCTTTATATGGCCTTGTCAATGCTAACATTAAATATTCAAGGTCTTGGAACGTCAGTTAATCGAACTACTTTGTTTTCATGGCTTAATTGTGTCAAAGCAGACGTTATTTGTCTTCAGGAGACACATTTTATTTCCCAAGAAGAGTTTGTTGAGTGAGTTCGAAAGGAAACAGAAGTTGGAAATAATATACATAATTATTCTGTTATGTCATCTCCTGGTTCGAATCGTAGCGCTGGCGTTGCGATACTGCATAAACCTTCATTTCAACTGGATCACCTTGTTTATGATAAGAATGGTCGGATGGTGACTGCTTGCCTTTCCGAGTCTGCTAGCGAATCCTCTCCGGTACAGATTATGAACCTCTGTTCAGACTAGCTGACTTTTCCTTGACATTATTATTTACATTTAAAGTTTTTTGGGACAGGACCTTTCTTTCTTTGTTTTGTTGAGTTCCAGAATATAATTGGACTATACACGCACTAAGTAACTAGTACGGGAGCTCAGGTTCCGGGAGAAAGTGACATGACATTGCCTGGATGAAAGCTTGTTTTAGAGAACCTTTTTGTAATTTTTTTATGTATTCCGGATTTTTCGTTGAAATTATATTGATTTAAATGGTTTTTGGTTGTATTTTTTGTACTAATTTACTCCCACTACGGCTGGGATGGCCCCAAAGCTGGTTGGAACATTAAATGGTCCTTCTATGTCGGATTGAACTGGTATATATCGACTTGTATTTTTTTTACTACATGTGTTCTATAATATTGACATTATCATAAACATGGGTGATGAAGACAATGTTAGTGGCATTGCCATGGGGTAGGCTACTGGGGACTCGCAAACATGTATTTGAAGTAAAAGATCGGTTGTTAAAAGACGAATTACTACAACGTTACGCAAATTGGACGAATTTGTATCGAAATCTGGTAGTAGAACGATGATAAAAGGGTATGTAAATAACTTATCTGAGTATTTGAAAGAAGCAGAAATACTCAATAATGGGCTCCTTGTGCTGGTGCATGAAAGTGAGCATAAAGTAGTCTTAAATTGGTATGAAGAACAGCTAGAAAGAGTCGAGGATGCCAAATTGCTGGCTGAAAACCATCTTGAGGGACGCTTACATGAAGTACAAATTGAACTCGAAACGAGTTGACACTCAAGTGAGTCCAGTGAACATGGTAATGCCCCGTTTTCATGTGAATGGCACGCTGGTGGTGGACCACTTAAATATATCTCAGCAGAATGTTAACTTGAAGGATGTTAAGTCTAAATGGCCTCATTTAAAGGACATAGACATACCGGAAGCGAGTGGTTGTGAAGTGTCCTTACTCCTTGGCAGTGATTGTTCTGCCCATAGAGACAAGGTGTGGTCCTAGGGGTACACCTATTGGTATTCGTACAAAACTTGGCTGGATGATAACTGGACCCCTTCCTGGTTATGATCGAGAGTCACAAAGTGTTTTTCATACTTATATTCGATCACCTGACAAGGAGTTGCATGACCGTGTCAAGTCTTGGTGGCGAACAGAGGAGTTTGGATGCAGGTACGACGCGGAGATCCAAAGATCCATCAAAAATGAAACTGCTATGAAAAATTTGAAAGATTCTACTAGAAATGTTGACGGAAGATATGAAGTTCCACAACTCTGGAAGAAGAGCGATGGTGATGAAACGGTTGCAACGAGACCCTAAGTTAGCTGAAGCATACAAGGAAACAATTCACAGTGACCTTGAAAAGGGCTACATTAAAAGAATTGAGCCTGACGAAATTGCAAATGATGAAAAGCAATGGTACTTGCCCCACCACCCTGTACTGAACAAGAACAAGCCTGGGAAAGTTAGACGAGTGTGTGACGCTGCCTGCCGGTATCAAGGATCCTCACTCAATCATCGTCTTATATCTGGTCCTGATCTTCTTATTAACTTAACAGGGATATTTACGAGATTTCGTAAAGAGCCGATTGCATTGTCAGCCGATATTGAGGCTATGTTTAGTCAAGTTATGGTGCCCAAAGATGACCAACCTGTGCTACACTTGATCTGGCGTGATTCTCCTAACTCGGAAACGGAAATCTATCAATACCAAAGGCATATTTTTGGAGCTAAGTGTGCGCCTACTTGCTCAAATTACGCCCTTCGTCGAAATGCAAAGGATAACGAACATGAGTTTCCTGATGCTGCAGCGGTAATTGAACGTAATTTTTATATGGACGATCTCTTTAAGTCTGTTGATTCTGTTGCAAGAGCCATCAAACTTTGTAAGGAACTTATCGAGTTATGTCAGAAAGGATAGTTTCGTCTAACAAAGTGGATTTCCAATGATTGCGGTGTGATCGAGACGATTCCAGAAACCGAGCGAGCTGCTTCTGTCAAGACACTGGAAGAATAAACGGACATGCCCGTAGAGAGAGCCTGGGTGTAGGGTGGAATACCCAAACAGACAGTTTTGTGTTTAGTGTTAAACAAAAACAATCAGCCTACACTCGAAGACAACTACTTAGTGCCATTGCGTCACTGTTTGACCCGCTAGGTTTTCTCGCACCCTTTGTGGTTAGAGCGAAGATGTTACTTCAAAAAGTCTGGCAACTTGGTTTGACTTGGGATATGATCAATTACCTGAAGATGTGTT